AAAAAAAGTTTTTCACTTTGTCATTATTGGGTATTTTGTGTAGAATTTTTTGGGGAAAAAAGTAATTTAATCCATTTTGGAATAAGGCTGTAACATACCACTTCACTTTTTCCACATTTTGTAATGAATACTTTCCGAATGCACTGTATTCAGAAAAAAGGCAATACAGCCACAATAATCAAGTAAAGAGAGAAAGCCTGGCAGACAATAGCAGACCAGCTTAATGCATAAGTAGTCCAAAAATTTGCTACACTTAACAGTGCCCCCCTTGGAACTGTCAAAATTACAATTAAAGTCCCAAAGGAGTTACTTTCCACTCATCAACAGTTACATACTTTGCTTTAAATAAGGCAAGTAGAAGTGCATGTTACTCAGGAAATGTAGAATATAATTAAGTGCAAACAATTATCTGCAATGTGTGTCCATGTTATTTATTTATTTTTCGTCTATTGTATGTATCTATCCATCATAAAGAAAACACATGTCTGGCCAGAAAAGGACTTGGCAGCGGGCCAAAATAAACTAGGACCCCGTTGGGGCACTGGCGGGCCTGAGCTGTGTCGCGTCCTCCCCCCAACGCGCTGCCTCCCCGTCCCATTTGTGTCCTCTGGCCATCGCCCTCTCTGGTAACGCCCATCACTGCAAAGACCCTTTTCCTTCATCGGCGTTTGCTGTTCTTCCTGCCAGTGCGTGTTGCTTTCACTTACACTTGCCACAGCCAGCCTCGTGAGTGCCTAGCCTATTGGATATCACTGTCACCTACACAGGACAGTCATTACCTTTCTATTAATACTTTGTTTTTTAATTTCACATTAATTTCCATATTGTATAAACAACTGGAAAAAACTTGAGCCCCTGCCCCTGTATAATCATGTGCACGTCTCTGTTCTAGCTCTAAGGTGAATCTTCACTGCTCATGTTCTCCTCAGAAGCAGTCACCTCACTCCCCTCAGGTTACTGTACACATGCACCAACTGCCTGCTTCAGGTTTGGATGGAGCTTCATGGTTGTCTTTTGGAGAAATGACCAGTCAAGTTGTGTTTGAAATTTGGTTTTTTTTAGGGGCAAAAGGAGCCTCTGCATTCTTGTCAAATATGTAAATAGCATGTTTTTGCAGGTGCTAAAAACCAGACTCTGAGTGTGTGTGTGTGCGTGTGTGTGTGTGTGTCTGTGTGTGTGTGTGTGCGTTCAAGTCACATGACATATTTAACCGGATGTAGCTGCAAGACGGAGCCTCGTTGACTCTCCGTTTCAACTTATCTCAAAAGTGAGGACCTCAACCTATATACCAGTTTTTAAATTGTGTTGATAGGCCAAATAAAACCAGAGTTATGATAAATTATGTCCGCGATACTTGTTTTCTGCTTATTTTGATCACGTTCGGCGCTCGATCGCGCTGTATGAGACAGGAAAACATAGCATGCAGACATTAGCGACAGGTCTTACAGGCGGAAAAGGCTTGCCAAAGGAAAAAAAAAACACACCACAACATCTCTCCTATTGGTGGAAAACTTCACCACAACAACCAATCCAAAATTATATGGTGACTGATTGACAAGGGGCGGGCGCTTACGTTCTTCCTGCAATATGAGAAGGGAGGGAGGGACTCTCAGCAGGGATGCAGTCTGGGACACGTAGTTGCAAACCTAGCGACTTTGTTGTTAGATTCAATGACTTTTCAGACCCCCTAACGACTTTTTTTTTAGAAAGAAAGGGACTTTTATCGACTTCTTCTGGAGTTTAGAGACTCTGACATGAAGCAGGCTTTCCTTACTGAGGAGTTAGCAACGCTGCTAAGGGTGCAGAGCCACACATGCGCTCCGAGCTCTGCATGGGAGACTGAAGCTGACAGAGCTGCAGCAGTTAGCAGGTTTCACCCTCAGAGACCACCAGGGGTTCATGTTGAGGCATTTTCAGTTTTTTTTTTTTTTTTGCCATAGACACTGTCAGCACAATCTGCAGTTACACTAACAAAAATGCTGCAAAAAACAAAGAATTATGGAAAAATTACACATGGACTAACATAGAGGAGGATCTACACAAGTTTTTTACATCATGTTTTACATCATGCATCATTTACATCATGTTTTTTTGTAGTGGCATAAATAAAAAGTGACATTTGTGAGACTATACAGTGTTTTGTAAATAATTTTACAAAGAACACCTGGGCGATTGCCTGCATTTTGATGTAAATAGAGGTAAATTACTATGTTCTTTGTTAAAAATTTGCATATGTTTTGAAGTTTACAATTTTTATTTGAAGTTTAAGTTTTAAAAACAGTTCATCACACATATTTGTGGTTTTCACAGTAAAAACGTTACTTTTTTCCACTTGGATTTTATGTTTTGTGTGTGAATTTGGGTCCAATGTGTAAATATAGTATGTCAAAATGATAAAATAACTGTAAATTGACACAGGTGAGGTTGTGCTGAAAAAAATGATACCAGGCAAGGCAAGGTAAAAATTTTGTAAGAGGAAATATAAAGGTAAAATCTAAAGTAGTCAAAAACGGCCAATAGTGACTCACAGACTCCACAGACAAGTCCCTTTGGCGCCACTCAGTGGGCAAAACTACTTTGTCTACTGTAATGTATATTTGGGTCATCTTTGGCGCCCCCTAAAACGTAAACCGTGGGGTGCAGCGTCATGATTTTTACAACTTTGAATGGCCATGGAGTGTAGATTGGCCTGAGCAAATTTGGTGTCAGTGGGACGAAAGCCTTAGGAGGAGTTAGCGAAATTCCAATGTGTGCGTATCGGCAAAAAATGCAAAATAGCCCTTTTACCGTACATTATACAGATACGCGCTCTTTGACTTTTTCGTAGATCTAATTGAGATACACATGATTGTCAATTTTTGTGTCATTTTGCCAAAGCGTACAGGCGTGACAGTCAACAATGTGTATTTTCACCTTAGGGGACAAGAAAAAATGGACTTTTTTCTCCTGCCATGGGGGGGCGCTCTTTTGGGGAGTAAAAATTCCTTCACAAATGTGTTGATGGCTGGACATTGCATCATCCTAGAGAACTTGGAGGCCAGTGAGGGCAAAAATAAAAAGTTATAAGACTTTTAAATATGTGGATTTTAGGGTTATCTTTGGCGCCCCCTAGAACCTAAACCGTGGGGTGCAGCGTCATGATTTGAATAACTTTTAATGGCCATGGGGTGTAGATTGGCCTGAGCAAATGTGGTGCCGGTGGAACGAAAGCCTTCGGAGGAGTTAGCGAAATTCCAATGTGTGCGGATCGGCAAAAAATGCGAAATAACCCTTTAACCGTACATTTGACAGATACGCCCGCACTGACTTTTTTGTAGATCTTATTGAGATACATGTGTGTGTCAATTTTTGTGTCATTTTGACAAAGCGTACAGGCGTGACAGTCAATAGTGTGAATTTTCGCCTTAGGGGGCGCTATGGAGCCATTTTGCATTTTCTTGTTTGGGCGACTTCGGAATATCAAATTTTTCACCAGGCCCGGTCGTCCTGCCAAATTTCATGAGTTTTCGCCAGTGGGAAGTGGGCCATTTTCCAGTTCAAAGGGGAGGAAAAAGAAAAACTAGGGCCCCGTTGGGGCACTGGCGGGCCCGAGCCGTGTTCCCCCCCCAACGCGCTGCCTCCCTGTCCCATTTGCGTCCTCTGGCCATCGCCCTCTCTGGTAACGCCCATCACTGCAAAGACCCTTTTCCTTCATCGGCGTTTGCTGTTCTTCCTTCCAGTGCGTGTTGCTTTCACTTACACTTGCCACAGCCAGCCTCGTGAGTGCCTAGCCTATTGGATATCACTGTCACCTACACAGGACAGTCATTACCTTTCTATTAATACTTTGTTTTTTAATTTCACATTAATTTCCATATTGTATAAACGACTGGAAAAAACTTGAGCCCCTGCCCCTGTATAATCATGTGCACGTCCCTGTTCTAGCTCCAAGGTGAATCTTCACTGCTCATGTTCTCCTCAGAAGCAGTCACCTCACTACCCTCAGGTTACTGTACACATACACCAACTGCCTGCTTCAGGTTTGGATGGAGCTTCATGGTTGTCTTTTGGAGAAATGAGCAGTCAAGTTGTGTTTGAAATTTGATTTTTTTTCAGGGGCAAAAGGAAGCCTCTGCATTCTTGTCAAATATGTAAATAGCATGTTTTTGCAGGTGCTAAAAAACAGACTCTGAGTGTGTGTGTGTGTGTGTGTGTGTGTGTGTGTGTGTGTGTGTGTGTGTGTGTGTGTTGACGTGTGTGTATATGTGTGTGTATCCTGCAGTACTCTGTACTCCTGCAGTGGCCGAAAAGACTTTTAAGAATGTGGATTTTTGGGTCATCTTTGGCGCCCCCTAGAACTGCAGTACTCTGTACTCCTGCAGTGGCCAAAATGACTTTTAAGAATGTGGATTTTTGGGTCATCTTTGGCGCCCCCTAGAACTGCAGTACTCTGTACTCCTGCAGTGGCCAAAATGACTTTTAAGAATGTGGATTTTTGGGTCATCTTTGGCGCCCCCTAGAACGTAAACCGTGGGGTGCAGCGTCATGATTTTTACAACTTTGAATGGGCATGGGGTGTAGATTGCCCTGAGCAAATTTGGTATCGGTGGGACAAAAGCCTTAGGAGGAGATAGCCACATTCCAATGTGTGCGAATCGGCAAAAAATGCGAAATAGCCCTTTAACCGTACATTTGACAGATACGTGCCTATTGACTTTTTTGTAGATCTTATTGAGATACACGTGATTGTTAAATTGTGTGTCAATATGACAAAGTGTATAGGCGTGACACTCAACAATGTGTATTTTTACCTTAGGAGACAAGAAAAAATGGACTTTTTTCTCCTGCCATGGGGGGGCGCTCTTTTGGGGAGTAAAAATTCCTTCACAAATGTGTTGATGGCTGGACATTGCATCATCCTAGAAAACTTGGAGGCCAGTGAGGACAAAAATAAAAAGTTATAAGACTTTTAAGAATGTGGATTTTTGGGTTATCTTTGGCGCCCCCTAGAACGTAAACCGTGGGGTGCAGCGTCATGATTTGTACAACTTTGAATGGCCATGGGGTGTAGATTGGCCTGAGCAAATTTGGTGCCGGAGGAACGAAAGCCTTCGGAGGAGTTAGCGAAATTCCAATGTGTGCGGATCGGCAAAAAAAGCGAAATAGCCCTTTAACCGTACATTTGACAGATACGCCCGCACTGACTTTTTCGTAGATCTTATTGAGATACACATGTGTGTCAAATTTTGTGTCATTTTGACAAAGCGTACAGGCATCAGGTGACTTTTCACCATAGGGGGCGCTATGGAGCCATTTTTCGTTTTTTTGTTTGGACGACTTCAGAATATCAAATTTTTCACCAGGCCCGGTCGTCCTGCCAAATTTCCTGAGTTTTCGCCAGTGGGAAGTGGGCCATTTTCCAGTTTAAAGCGGAGGAAAAATAACGAAAGAAGAATCCATCAGGAACAAGAGGGCTCTCGCAGCTGCTTAGCAGCCCGAGCCGTGTTCCCCCCCCAACGCGCTGCCTCCCTGTCCCATTTGCGTCCTCTGGCCATCGCCCTCTCTGGTAACGCCCATCACTGCAAAGACCCTTTTCCTTCATCGGCGTTTGCTGTTCTTCCTTCCAGTGCGTGTTGCTTTCACTTACACTTGCCACAGCCAGCCTCGTGAGTGCCTAGCCTATTGGATATCACTGTCACCTACACAGGACAGTCATTACCTTTCTATTAATACTTTGTTTTTTAATTTCACATTAATTTCCATATTGTATAAACGACTGGAAAAAACTTGAGCCCCTGCCCCTGTATAATCATGTGCACGTCCCTGTTCTAGCTCCAAGGTGAATCTTCACTGCTCATGTTCTCCTCAGAAGCAGTCACCTCACTACCCTCAGGTTACTGTACACATACACCAACTGCCTGCTTCAGGTTTGGATGGAGCTTCATGGTTGTCTTTTGGAGAAATGAGCAGTCAAGTTGTGTTTGAAATTTGATTTTTTTCAGGGGCAAAAGGAAGCCTCTGCATTCTTGTCAAATATGTAAATAGCATGTTTTTGCAGGTGCTAAAAAACAGACTCTGAGTGTGTGTGTGTGTGTGTGTGTGTGTGTGTGTGTGTGTGTGTGTGTGTTGGCGTGTGTGTATATGTGTGTGTATCCTGCAGTACTCTGTACTCCTGCAGTGGCCGAAAAGACTTTTAAGAATGTGGATTTTTGGGTCATCTTTGGCGCCCCCTAGAACTGCAGAACTCTGTACTCCTGCAGTGGCCAAAATGACTTTTAAGAATGTGGATTTTTGGGTCATCTTTGGCGCCCCAAAGAACTGCAGTACTCTGTACTCCTGCAGTGGCCAAAATGACTTTTAAGAATGTGGATTTTTGGGTCATTTTGGCGCCCCCTAGAACGTAAACCGTGGGGTGCAGCGTCATGATTTTTACAACTTTGAATGGGCATGGGGTGTAGATTGCCCTGAGCAAATTTGGTATCGGTGGGACAAAAGCCTTAGGAGGAGATAGCCACATTCCAATGTGTGCGAATCGGCAAAAAATGCGAAATAGCCCTTTAACCGTACATTTGACAGATACGTGCCTATTGACTTTTTTGTAGATCTTATTGAGATACACGTGATTGTTAAATTGTGTGTCAATATGACAAAGTGTATAGGCGTGACACTCAACAATGTGTATTTTTACCTTAGGAGACAAGAAAAAATGGACTTTTTTCTCCTGCCATGGGGGGGCGCTCTTTTGGGGAGTAAAAATTCCTTCACAAATGTGTTGATGGCTGGACATTGCATCATCCTAGAAAACTTGGAGGCCAGTGAGGACAAAAATAAAAAGTTATAAGACTTTTAAGAATGTGGATTTTTGGGTTATCTTTGGCGCCCCCTAGAACGTAAACCGTGGGGTGCAGCGTCATGATTTGTACAACTTTGAATGGCCATGGGGTGTAGATTGGCCTGAGCAAATTTGGTGCCGGAGGAACGAAAGCCTTCGGAGGAGTTAGCGAAATTCCAATGTGTGCGGATCGGCAAAAAAAGCGAAATAGCCCTTTAACCGTACATTTGACAGATACGCCCGCACTGACTTTTTCGTAGATCTTATTGAGATACACATGTGTGTCAAATTTTGTGTCATTTTGACAAAGCGTACAGGCATCAGGTGACTTTTCACCATAGGGGGCGCTATGGAGCCATTTTTCGTTTTTTTGTTTGGACGACTTCAGAATATCAAATTTTTCACCAGGCCCGGTCGTCCTGCCAAATTTCCTGAGTTTTCGCCAGTGGGAAGTGGGCCATTTTCCAGTTTAAAGCGGAGGAAAAATAACGAAAGAAGAATCCATCAGGAACAAGAGGGCTCTCGCAGCTGCTTAGCAGCTACGCTCGGGCCCTAAGAAACAAAGAAAAACCACTTGGGGAATAATAGGGCTCTCGCAGCTGCTTAGCAGCTACGCTCGGGCCCTAAAGAAAGAAAGAAAGAAAGAAGAAAGACTAGGGCCCCGTTGGGGCACTGTCGGGCCCGAGCCGCGTCGCGCCGCCCCCAGCGCGACCGCCTCCTCCACCCGATCGCGTCACACTCAAGGTCCAAAGATGGTGTGCGCACTTGTTTGTGGTCATTTACCATTATAATGAACGGGAGGCGCAGTTTCTACCAAAACGCTCGCTGCAGACAAACTACATGTCCTATTTGAAAAAAGTCTGGACCATGAGTGAGGGCACAAACACAGCTAGGATATATCCAAATGGCAAGTTGCTCCTCCTTACGGTGTTGCCAGGAGAGCGATGCGATTGAGCCATTGAGCGATGGGCAGGGTTAACTGGACTTTTTCTCCTGCCTTGGGGGGGGGGATGTGGATTCTTTTAAGAATGTGGATATTTGGGTCATATTTGGCGCCCCCTTGAACGTAAACCATGGGGTGCAGCGGCATGATTTTTACAACTTTGAATGGCCATGGGATGTAGATCGGCTTGAGCAAATTTGGTGTCGGTGGAAAGAAAGCCTTAGGAGGAGTTAGCCACATTCCAATGTGTGCGAATCGGCAAAAAATGCGAAATAGCCCTTTAACCGTACATTTTACAGATACGTGCCCACTGACTTTTTCGTAGATCTTATTGAGATACACGTGTGTGTCAAATTTTGTGTCATTTTGACAAAGCGTATAGGCGTGACAGTCAACAATGTGTTTTTTCACCTTAGGGGACAAGAAAAAATGGACTTTTTTCTCCTGCCATGGGGGGGCGCTCTTTTCGGGAGTAAAAATTCCTTTACAAATGTGTTGATGGCTGGACATTGCATCATCCTAGAAAACTTGGAGGCCAGTGAGGACAAAAATAAAAAGTTATAAGACTATTAAGAATGTGGATTTTTGGGTCATCTTTGGCGCCCCCTTGAACATAAACCGTGGAGTGCAGCGTCATGATTTGTACAACTTTTAATGGCCATGGGGTGTAGATTGGCCTGAGCAAATGTGGTGCCGGTGGAACGAAAGCCTTCGGAGGAGTTAGCGAAATTCCAATGTGTGCGGATCGGCAAAAAGTGCAAAATAGCCCTTTAACCGTACATTTGACAGATACGTGCGCATAGAATTTTTGTAGATCTTATTGAGATACACGTGTGTGTCAAATTTTGTGTCAATATGACAAAGCGTATAGGCGTGACACTCAACAATATGTATTTTCACCTTAGGGGACAAGAAAAAATGGACTTTTTTCTCCTACCATAGGGGGGCGCTCTTTTGGGGAGTAAAAATTCCTTCACAAATGTGTTGATGGCTGGACATTGCATCATCCTAGAAAACTTGGAGGCCAGTGAGGACAAAAAAAAAAAGTTATAAAACATTTAAGAATGTGGATTTTTGGGTTATTTTTGGCGCCCCCTAGAACCTAAACCATGGGGTGCAGCATCATGATTTGAATAACTTTTAATGGCCATGGGGTGTAGATTGGCCTGAGCAAATGTGGTGCCGGTGGAACGAAAGCCTTCGGAGGAGTTAGCGAAATTCCAATGTGTGCGTATCGGCAAAAAATGCGGAATAACCCTTTAACCGTACATTTGACAGATACGCGCACAGGACTTTTTTGTAGATCTTATTGAGATACATGTGTGTGTCAATTTTTGTGTCATTTTGCCAAAGCGTACAGGTGTTACACTCAACAATGTGTATTTTCACCTTAGGGGACAAGAAAAAATTGACTTTTTTCTCCTGCCATGGGGGGGCGCTCTTTTGGGGAGTAAAAATTCCTTCACAAATGTGTTGATGGCTGGACATTGCATCATCCTAGAAAACTTGGAGGCCAGTGAGGGCAAAAATAAAAAGTTATAAGACTTTTAAATATGTGGATCTTAGGGTTATCTTTGGCGCCCCCTAGAACCTAAACCTTGGGGTGCAGCGTCATGATTTGAATAACTTTTAATGGCCATGGGGTGTAGATTGGCCTGAGCAAATGTGGTGCCGGTGGAACGAAAGCCTTCGGAGGAGTTAGCGAAATTCCAATGTGTGCGGATCGGCAAAAAATGCGGAATAACCCTTTAACCGTACATTTGACAGATACGCCCGCACTGACTTTTTTGTAGATCTTATTGAGATACACGTGTGTGTCAATTTTTGTGTCAATATGACAAAGCGTACAGCCGTCATGTGAATTTTCACCTTAGGGGGCGCTATGGAGCCATTTTGCATTTTATTGTTTGGGCGACTTCAGAATATCGAATTTTTCACCAGGCCCGGTCGTCCTGCCAAATTTCATGAGTTTTCGCCAGTGGGAAGTGGGCCATTTTCCAGTTTAAAGCGGAGGAAAAATAATAACGAAAGAAGGAAACATGCAGGAACAAGAGGGCTCTCGCAGCTGCTTAGCAGCTACGCTCGGGCCCTAAAGAAACAAAGAAAAACCACTTGGGGAATAATAGGGCTCTCGCAGCTGCTTAGCAGCTACGCTCGGGCCCTAAATACATTTTGCAGGCTGGTAAGTGACTTTAGTGTAGATAACAATGAACAAATGGGGTGAACAGATAAGTTGTGTGCTGACATATTGAATGTCTGTATGATTGTAGCAGTTTAAAAAAAGCTGATAAAACTGGCACGGGGCACGGCCCACCTAGCTAGGATCTGACCCTAGCAAAGGACCCGACCCTCCATGTAAATAAAGGGAGGCCAGTGATAGAGGGGATCCAGGGAGGGACAGCCACAGACTATGCCCCAGCAACAGAAACTGGCTGCTTCATACAAGGTACATATTGCAGTACTATTGAACACAATTAAATGCATATACTAATACTGTCTGACTTCGGATTTCCCTGCAGTGTCAGGGAACACAGTTACATTTTTGGAGCCACCAGAAGATGAGGCTTGGCATGTCCTGTCAAAAATCTTAATAGAAGTTCTCATAAGGCATGTATGTGTATGGCAGGGAAAAGGCACCTCTGCAGACAAGGAGACCATGAGGTACTATGTCATTTTTTAAAATATCCTGCTTATTTACTCCATAATGGATATGAACTCAGTGATTTTGTGCTTAAAGTAAATAACATGAGTAACAGGACCCAGATGCTGCACAGCCTCATAAGCAGTCTGGTAATATTGTGAGTATTGACTTCAGTAAATCTGAATTATACACAAATCCTGCTGTACTAACTGACATTTCTTTTACAGACTTCACAAATTGTCAGATATCTCTACACTACTGTAAGCACCTTGAGAGACAGATCGAGCTTGCATATGTGAAAATTCAGTTGAAAAAGAGAAAAGTGCAAGTAATGGAGCTTGATCTAGAGATCAGAAGCAGGGCCCTCAGGAAACTGGACCTGGAAATCCAGAAACTAGAAAGAGAAGTATTTCAGTGCATTTTATACCATTATATAATACATTGTATTAGTATTTATTATTTTTGCTCTCTATTCCAGGTTCCACACAACACACAAGGGCTGCAAAATAAAAAATGCAATAAGAAAACATTGTGGTGTTCTTCCTTTTTCATGAATGTGAAGTGCACCATTCACTTTGTGACACGGAATTTAAAAGATACCTGTGCACACTGTGCAACAATTGCCAGACAAAATGCATAGACACAGCAACAACACAGAAGATCCTTTATTAAAGAGGCTGAATCCAAAGACTAAGTGAAATAAATCACAATGTATTGCTCCCTGACCAGTCTGCCATTAATGTTGTCTGGCAAAATGGAAGCATTTTTTCCAGTCAACAATCACTCTTGGGGCCTTCTCTTTTCTAAGACCTGCAATGTTATGCAGCACTGTCAGGGGAAACCCTCAGGTGGTGCAAGCACTGAAACCCAGACTTTATAAGACCAAAAGTCATTTCAATTCGAGCCCTTGTTTTGGCATGTGCATGGTTGTAGGCCTGTTGTGGGGTTAGGGGGTCCACAACGAGAGTCGAGAAATGACTCACAGGCATAGCCTTTGTCTCCCAGCAGCACATCAGAGAATTCACCTGATAATACAAAATACAATTTATAAAACTACACAGTGGAGTTAAAGACTCATAATGTCCAAGGTGCTTAGAAATAAAATGTGTAGCTTACCTTGTGAAAGTCTCTCGTAAACTGGATGTGCCCAAAAGACTCTGGAGTCATGCACTGAGCCAGGTCGCTTTGCCTCTAAATTGCTGACATGGCAGTCAGCATCACAGATCATCTGAAACAGTAAGATGTAACCTATTAAGTAATTGAATGCACAGCATTAATTTATGTAGGTCCCAGTAACCATAAATCAGGCTTACCTGAACACTGATACTGTTTAAGGATTTCTTGTCAATGTAATCTCCCTCAGGTTCCCTTCATGGGCGTTGGATTGTAACATGGTTGCAACCCACCGCACCAATGACATTAGGGAAAGCTATAACAAAAAATAGTAAGCATCCAACTTTGAGAGATCAAATTAGAAACTAATAATTGCAAGTTGAAATTGATGTTACCTGCAATCTTGTTAAACTCCTCCTTGATGTAGAGGTGTCTTCTGTGACCAGGGAAGGTGATGAAAATGTGTTTGAGTGACTTTAGTGCCAAACAAACACATACTACTGTGCGGCAAATATTCCTTTAATTGAGGTTCTCAGCATCCCCAACAGAATAAAGGAAACTCCCACTTGCAAAGAACCCTGGTATAACACAGACCATCTGTGGTACAGTGAGGGCATGGTGCTTGGTGCTGTCTGGTGCTGTACTTTAGGACCCAGCAGCATACATAAATATCTCTGTCCATCACCTGAGAATCTATACCTTTCAATGAGATACCAATCTCCATAGGCCAACGGGTCCGATCTGTCCCAGAAGACTCTTTTTAATGCCTACATGCTCTCCTAAGGATTCAGGCTTTGTCATCCAGGACATCCTCCAAAAAAGGGCATGCCATCATGAAGAGGAAACAGGTGAATGTGTAACGGGTATTGACTGGACCCAATTGCAGCACAAACAAGCAGGTTCACTTTAACGACAGTCTTTATTTAAC